TTTTTCTAATATTTTTGAATTTTAAAATTTTAATTTGGGTTTACTTTTTTCTCTATTATTTTGAAATGTTACTATCGAGGCAAGTGCTGATGGAAGGTTTTTTTTTTTTTATGAAGAATTTTTTTAAAGTGGGAGAAAGTAGGGCTAGAGAAATAAATAGCCACTAAGCTAAGAAACTTTGTTAACATTATTATGAAAAAAAAACATGTAAGTTAACTCTTTTATTATAAAATTCAGAAAAAAATAACAAAAATTTCTCTTTATTATTTTATTAAAAAAGTTTGAAATCTCCTCACAAGAGATAGTGACTAGCCACTAGCCACTGCCTCCAGCTGGCGGGCTGCTTGGTGTTGATTGTAACACCTTACGTTTATGACCTTATATTGTGCCAAGTCAAGATATTCGGAAGCACAATTTAAGGTTACCGGGTTGAAAACTTGAATTTGAAAATTTCTTTTTCCGCATTACTATTCACTGTAACCTTAAACTTGGCATAACTTTGAAAAATCATAACTAATTCTAGAAAAATCGAAACAAGGTCATTCCAAGTCTCACTCGAAGCTCTTAACATCATCTATCAAGGAAAAATGACCTCAGGTTCCACTTTAATCAGAAATGCATCCGTTTTTAATTTCGAAAAGTACTGTTCATTTGGTCATTTCTTTATTTTCCAGGATTTTTGCCTAACTTCGGAAAGGCATAGCTTCTTACACAGAGCTCCGATTGTGACGCTTTACCACTAATTTTAAAGGGAAAAATAAGATCTATTTGCATGCCAAATTTTATGAAAAAAGTCAACCATTTGACCAGGGTCTTTGTTGGTCAAAGTTTGGTCAAATCTAGACCATTTTTATCCCCTTTTTCACTATTTTTAACAGCATTTCGTTTTTCACTATAAGCATACCATAATCACACATAAAGCTACTCTACCATTAATATACATTCAAAAAGGTTATCATATCATGTGTTCATGATCAGAGTATGCTTACATGGCTTAAAAGAGAAAGGTTCAAAACCGTATAATACAATACATAATTCATAACTTCCTCAAGCCATGATTATTTCTTTTCCCTTCTCCTTGGAAGCAGTGGCACCTAGGATATCATGTTATAGGAGGAATGAGATTTCATAGAAATCCCAGTAGCATTGAACATACAACCATCAAGTCAACATGCATAAGATGTCATGCTATATGCAGTAAAATAACATTTCTAATCTTTATGCCATGCCATAACCATTCTGTATCTATGTCATCATATCATGGAGCATATAATCATTCTGGTCAAAACTCAATCATGCAAGAGCCAAGGCATACATTGCAAGGAATTCACATCATCTGGGCATAAAAATTCTCATGGCACATAAACACACATAGCAGAAACACCAAATGCAGATCAACAAAATAATTGTAAGTTCACGCTACCTCAATTCCACGCTTAATGTTTCCTCCTTGTTCCCTTGCTTGAGATCCTCCTAGGTTTCCAGAAAATTGCCTATCAACCATACAGTAAGGGTATGGTAAATTCTATATCCAGTATACCATTCTTTCTCAATATAATGCTACCCTTGTGCCTTTCAATTTATAATTTCTGTATACCTTTCCTAATCCTTTGACTTTGGTTTGACCAAGTCTTAGTCCTCAATTAAGGTCTTGGAATTCTTCCTTAATCCATGATTAATCATGCTTTCTTGGTTAATCACTAACCCTTAATCCTTAATCCAATATTTAATTAAGGTCCTCAAGTCACATGGTCATTAGTACAACATAATCTTCTAAGATTAAGTCACTAATCCCTTATAGATTAACCATTAATCATTCTCTAATCAACATGATTAACCATTAATCATTCTCTAATCAACATGATTAATCATAATTAATCATCCTTCAATTAGCATAACTAATCACTAATTACTAATTAATCAAGGTAGCTAACCTTAATTACTTACTAATCTTTAATCAAATAACATGATTAATCTTAGCTATCACTAAACCATAATTAATCAAGGTAATTAATCCTAATCTTCCTCAAATAAATAATTAACTAAAAATAATTAACACTTAGGGAGGTAAACATACCTTAATTAGCTCTTAATCGGCGATTAGAGGTGTCTAACCTTGCTTTCTCCCTTTCTCTCTCTTCTTTCTTCCTTTCTCTCTCTTAGAACTCAAGAACACAACATTCCCTCTCATGCAAACCACTTTGGCCGAGTTCTTCATGGAAGGGGGGTATTTATAGGCTTTGGTATTTCAAAATTCCAAAAAAGCCCTTCGGGAAAAAGATGCGATCTCGGCCGTCCATTTTTTTTCTACTTTACACATGGACAAATCTTAGGGCACACACCATAAGAAGTTGACACATGGATGGACACCTAATCACCATGTGATTTTCATGTGGAAATAAAATATTATTTTAATGTTTTGTCTCTTATTTCTCTTTATGCCCTTGAAAAATTTGGAAAATTCCAACTTTGTCCTCACCCTTTATTTTTGGTCGAAATATTACTCTTAATATTGGAAAAAAATGACTCATCCAATAATCAGTGCAATCCACTGATTATTTGTGTATTTCCGGTTCGATTTTCCAACAATCCTGTCCAATTTACTGTCACAAAATTTTGATTTCAACACCTCATTAAATTCTCCTCATTCCAAGGGTAATCCATGATTTTTCTCAAGTTTTACCTCCCTCTATAATTTTCTAAATTTTATTTTGTCAAAAATCACTATTCTACCGATAACAATTCGGTAATAAATATTCTTTAAGCTAACCTCTGTACATCCAAAAGTGGGAAGTAATTTTATAAATTAGGATAATATGTCACATAATTTATCCCTATTTTTCCTTGAATTTTTGAGGCCTCTATATATTTTAAATAATGGAAATTGGCTAATTTTCCTTAATTAACCAAAAATTCCAAAAATTCCCTGATAAATTATTTTTAATCTTATATTCATCTTCTAAGCCTCAAACATTATTCTGTACCCTCCTTTCTATTTTTCATGATTTTCTGAGAATTTTCAGGAATTTTGGACATTATTTCCAATACTGCCTTTTCTTGCCCGATCTTTTCAAAAATGACCGTTATGTCCCTATCCTGATTTTTCCTCATAGCCTGGGTCCTCTACCAGTCTACTATACTACTTGACCGTAGTCAGTCACAAATCATTCATCAATTAGAATAAAATTATCAGGGTGTGACATTGACGCCCCGGCACTGGCCATTGGCGAGATGGCTACCAATTGGAGGTTTTTTTTATGAGGAATTTGTTTTAAAAAGGAAGAAAATTGGGATTGTGGGGAAACCTTGTGGTTAGCAAATGACGGATAACCCTTGAACCCAAAGACATCTCACATCGTTGCACGAAAAAAAGATCAACTTCTTTACTTTAGTTTAAGCTCATAACTACAATTTATGTGGGAACAAGAAATCTTGATAAGTTTGGAGTTGGGATTAACAACACTTTTTTTTTTTCAAATACATAATATGTAAATCAATTAAAAATGACAACAACCCATTTAGAAATAACAAATCCTAATTGTGAAATAATAAGTCTTGAGTTGTGATTAATAATACATTTTTTTTTATACTTTTTAATTATAATAGTTATATTATTTACTACCTCCGGTCCTAATTATAAGACCCAGTTGACTTATTTGAGGAGATTAAGGAAGTAAGTTAAGTTAGTTATTTATAATAAATAAGTGTTGTCATTCCTAAAATATCCTTGCTAATTAAGTGTATTGGCTAGAACTATCATTATTAGAAGGATTATTTTGGAAAAAATGCATAAATATGGGAGACAAAATGGATTGGGGTCTTATAATTAGGACCAAACAAAAAGTCAAACGGGATCATATAATAAGGACCGGAGGTAGTATAATTTATAAAATTATTTTATCTCCATTTTATAAAAAAAGTATAAAAATAGTTTTTAATTATATTATTTATTTATTTATAATTTATAAAAATACTTTATCTACAATTTGTAAAAAAATTAAAAAAATACCTTTTTTATTATACTTGTTATAATATTTATACTTTATAAAAATTATTTAAATTTATATTGAGTTATATGTTATATATATAAAAAACGTGTTATTAATCTAAACTCGAGACTTGCTATTTCACAAACAAGATTTATTATTTTTAAATGAATTGTTGTCATTTTTAATTAATTCACATGTTATGTATCTACAAAAAGAATGTGTTGTTAATCGTAATTTTAGACTTATCATTTCGCAATCAAAACTTGTTATTCTTAGATAAATAGTTGTCATGAGTTAGAGCCAAAGTGAAGGAGTTAACTTTTCTTTGGGCATAATATTATTAAAAAATTTTTTTGGCTCAGTTGTTATCTATTATTTGGGCAACCACCTGGTTGGGGATCAAATCCCCGCAACCCCACTTTCCCACTTAAAAAAAAAACATTTCTCATAGAAAAATTCCACTAGTAGCCACCTTGCTAGTAGTCAATGTTAGAGCTTTGCCTTGAGCAAGCTGGCAGCTGACTACTGATCGATGGCGGGGCTTCAGTAAGGGGTTCCAACCTTCTTAAAGAAATTAATAAAAGGGTATTTTTGTAATTTTTCTTAAATGTCAAAATTTCAATTTGGATTTACTTCATTTAGTATCATTTTGAGATGTTAGATTCCTGAATGAGAATATCATAATTTCATGCCTTTTTTTAATTATTTTTCCCATGTTAAAGTTGAAGCGCGTTGCTCTTGCTGTTAAAAAATATTAACAGTTAATATTAATTTTTGAATGATCAATATTAATTTATTAATGATTAGAGTGATATTGCTTTTTTTTTTTTAGCATTTTCAATATTTTTTTTGGACCAGAAGCATTTTCAATATAATGTTTAGTCAAAAGATACCCGCAACTTCTTCACAAATACTTTTAAGGGCAAAATAACATTTAGCCTATTTAATGGATTCCATGAAAAGAAATTATATGTAATCCTAATGTAAAATATTGTTGATTCCAATATTTAGTTGGACTTGTATAATGTAAGGAAGATTATATTTTGTAATGCTAATTATATCAAATAAATGGATTACACAGATGATACTCGTGAAAAATTATACAGATCTCTTGTAACCAAGTATCCTCAATGAATATTTTGAAAAGAATAATTATAAATAATAAATTGGTGTGTTATGATGGAGACAAAAACAGCCACGCCAGAAAGGTGAAATGCGTGGATATTAATATGTAGAGAGTAGTTCCCAAGCAAAGTCACTTTTCTTTATGTGAGAATTTATTAGCATTTTTTTTTTAACCAGAGAAGACTTTATTAGCATTTGGAATTCTTAGCGGCTCTTAGAGTGTGTTTGGATGAAACTAAACCGTGGTTTGAAAAAGTGATTTTGGAGAATAGATTCTGGAAAGAATAGATTTTATGAAAAAGTGATTTTGAGAAGTGAGAGTGTTTGGATAGTTGTTATCAGAAGCACTTTTTATATATACAAATTACTAAAAAAAAGACATAAGTTAATATGATAATTACAGAAAAAATAGATTTTATGATATATTTTAATTTGAAGGAATAAAATTATTAATAATATATTTTTTATTAATATAATTAATAATACATAAGATAATATAATTAATAAATAATTAATATGTATATATATTTATAAAATATAAGATTAAATATGTTTATAAAAAAAATAACAAGATACATATCCTATAGGCTCTCACACACTTTTTTTTTTCCAAAAGCAAAAAATTTTTGCTTTTTCCAAAATTATAGTTTTGGCCCAAAACCATGGTTTTAGTTTTTGGGTGGGTGTTTGGGTGATTTATTCCCCAAACTATGATTTGGGTCCCCAAACTATGGTTTGAGGTGTCAGCCAAACACAGCCTTGATTGATAATGAAGACGTGGACAGTCGTGTGTAAATAAAAGGACATGAAATCATTGGCCCGCGGCGGGTGGGGGGACGGTGAAGTCAATATGTGAATGATAATGCGGCAATATTCAAATGCTTATCGTCAGAGAAATTCTGAAAGGGCAAAAGGGCCCCACAGATTTGGAAAATGGCTCATACTAAAGAATCTACAAACGAAGGTTCTCCCTACGTGGGCAAATTTTCCGCACGTTACTGTCATTGCGATTTTTTTCCTTCTCTCATACATCATTCATTACGTGCCAAAGAAATTTTTTGCATACATATTTTACGTAAATCGAGATAAAATTATTTTTACATATTTATCTCGTATTTCATAAATCATTATTAAAAACTATTTATAAACTATTCCAAACAATCGTTATATAATATTGTTGATTTAGATTTAAAAATTACTAAGTTCAATTTTTTCGGCCAAAATTATTGAGATATATTAGAAATATTTTTTTAATATGACTTCTTTACATCTAAAAGTTTAGTTTTATAGTCCTTCTTGTTTTAAATGGGAGCGGCTTCTCTCCTCTGCCTTCCCGTTCGCTGCCTTCAACGCAGCGCCGTTTAGCTGGGTGAAAGAGGGGTGATGAGATGTGATGGTCTGACACTCGCATAAATGGGAGAGGCGGAGAGCCCCAAAGCTATCAAATATATTACGCACTCGTTGAGCCTCAATAATATAATAAATAATTAAATATAGTATTGTTGTGTTTTTCTGTCTGAAATATATTATTGTTGTTATCAACAACAAGTTTAGTTTTTATTGCAATCTAGTTAATATTCGTAAATTATTCTAATCCCATTTCATAATAATAAATTAATTACATTTTACAATTAAAAATAATTAAATCTTAGAAATAATTAATTTAACAACAAATTTAGATTTTCATTACAATCTATTTATTATTTGTAAATTATTCTAATCCATTTTATAATAATAAATCAATTATATTTTATCATTAAAAATAATTAGATCTTAGAAATAATTAATTTCGCCATTTGTTATAATTTCAACCAATTTTTAATGAGGTTTTCTATCTTCTATTATATTTTTATAGTTTTTCCTAGTATAGTCATTAACTCATTAACTCATATGGTCATGTACTTTATTTTTTTAAATATAAATTTTAAATTAAATATTATTAAACATTAAATTTTTTAAAATAGAATATATGACTATATATGATTGAATAACTTAACATAATAAATTGTCCTTTTTTTAATCTAATTTTTCACAGGAAAAATTGACAAAAACATATTTAACATTTAAGGACAGTAAACAGTATCTTGTAAAAAAAACTAAACCAATTTAAATTTTAAGATCTTATAAAAAGAAGGGAGAGAGGATAATATGCAAACTTATATATCTCTTAATTTCTTATTTAGCTTATTATGACCATATAAACTAATGGCTACATTGAGAAACACTATAAAAATCTTATAAAAGATGAAAAAACCTAATTAAAAATTGAGTGAAATTATAACGGCAGCTTTTCAGTTGAGACTTAGTTTCTAAATAAATATATTTAATTATTTATTATATTGTTGATATCCAACATGTGGGTAATATATTTGGTAGCTTTTCCGCCTCTCCCATGTATGCGAGTGTCAGACCATCACATCTCATTGCTCCTCTTTCACCCAGCTAAACGGCGCTGCGTTGAAGGCAGCGGACAGGCAGCGAACGGGAAGGCAGTGGAGAGAAGCCGCTCCCGTTTTAAATGTAAGAGTAGTATAATTTACAGTCTTACATTTAAAATCGTAGAAATACCGAAAAAAAAAGTCAAATCACTTTTTATATTGTTGCATTGATTTTATCTACTCCTTTTATTTCTTGTCGCGACAAGCTAAGTATCATTCGCTGCCTGGACGGCTGAGTAGAGACATAAAATCTCGGGGAAAAAAGAAGAAGAACTATAAAACTAATGATACTTGAGAAGTAATTTTAAACTTGAGAAGGTTTGGATTAGTTTTTATTTTTTTTAGAAGTAATTTTATAATGTATGAGATAAACGTGTGATGCAAGTTTTGTCATAAAAAATACTTCTGAGAACTCTTGGGATCTGAAGCTTCACTATATTTCTAGAAAATTAAACCATATTACTGATGCTCTAACTAAAGAGGGACTATTCACTTCTTCTGATCTGGATTACTACCCGGGGCATTTTAAGAAAGTTTCCTTGAAAGGTAGTTTGAATCCCTTTTTAGATTAATTTCTTTGTTTTGTTTAGGCATGTTGCCTTTTTCCTTTGTATGAAAAGAAAACTTCTGAGATGGTAAAACAAACGCTCATTGGCATTAAATATAAGTATATTTCTCCCTAATGGGATTTGAATCTTAATATGTTATTACTTCTGGTCCTAATTATAAGAGCTAGTGGACTAATTTGAGAATATTAAAGAAATAAGTTAAGTTAGTTATTTGTAATAAATAAGTGTAATCTTTCTTAAAATATCCTTACTAATCAACTGTATTGGCTATAACTACCATTGTTAAAAGGACTACCTTAGAAAAAAATACATAAATATGAGAGACAATGTGGACTGAGGTCTTATATTTAGGACCAAAATAAAAGTAAAACAAGATCTTATATTAAGGACCGTAGTATAATGTAACCATTTTGAGTAACTCTCCAAAATTATAAATGAATACTGTAAATTATCTCTCTCTCTTAGATAGGTTGATAATAATAAACGCTGAAGAACGTAGAATATAAACATAGTATATTAGCGCTCCAGGGTAAAGTTGCTTGAGCTGGTGTCCTAAAATACAAGGTAACTTTCTGGTTGAAGGTTTCCTTCATAAGTGAAACCAAGATGATATAGCCTAATTGCCAAATTGTGTGGGTCTAAAAAGGGCTTGGGACATTGGTGAAAGTGATATAGTTCTTCGGTGTGACTCTTCGAAAGCCATTCATCTTATCTCCGGTGGTGTCAGCAGCTTGCACGACGACGGGGCTGTGATCCAAGAACTTCAGAACATGCTCGAACGGTCTTGGACAGTTGAGTTATAGCTCATTCACCGTGAGGATAACCAGATGGCTGATGCTCTCGCGAAAAATGCTCTGAATGAAGCAATGGCTCTAGAGAATTTACGCTCTGAAACAGTGCGGACGATGCTTAGGTTGCTAGGTGCAGTTTAGTTTTGTTCTCTGTATTTTTCTGTGCAAGCGTGTAAAAAAACAATTTTTTTTTAGAGGTTATCATGGTACTTGGATTGCTGGATTCTCAAATTATCTCGGGAATTGTAGTGCCCATGGAGCAGAGGAACGGGCAATGCTTAAGTGCCACTTGCAGTACTACCTTTCTTGGACATTAAACAGTATTTATTGAGGAGCTGCCACGTACAAATCAATTTTGTACATAGAGATCGCAATAGGATTGCCGATAGCATGGCGAAAAGGGGTTTTATAGCTGCTTCTTGGCTTGACATGGCAACTCAACACATGAGGGCCCTGGTTCAGAAAGAAGGTATGGGATCACAATCCCCAATGTTTTAATTCTTGCTATAGGCCTCGGCCTCTCTTATGCACCCCAAAAAATGTGTATAAAAAAAGGTATATCAGCACTTAATGATTAGTTCGTTTGTTTTTCCTTGTTGTGCCACAACTTGAATGCAAATCCTTTTGTACATTAATTAATGAGGCTTGATAACCTTTGGAGATGTCGAAGAGCTGTTGCTGCGTGCATTAAATTTTGCTTCCTTTTGTTGATAATCATCTCTCCTTTGATAGTGTAAGTGAATAATAGTTTAGAATGAAGTTCCAAAAGATTTGAAGATTAGTAGAAGTCATTTGTAAAGATGTGACGCAAGTTTAAAACTCGAGTTCTCTTCTGGAAGTGGGAGTAACCTAGTAGTCACTTGAAATTGATTTCAGTTCAGCACCACAAAACATAGGGATAACTTTTGGCTATCACTGATCAACTCACGTTATGAGACTATTTTCGAATCAAAGTTTTGACTTAAAAATAACTTCCGGTCAATTGAAGGCTTTTCAACATAAGGTATAACTTCTAGTCATTAAAAAGTTATTAAGAATGCATGGTACCAACTTCCAGTTATTTTAACTTCAAGTTTAAGGAATAACTTCTCAAAACAAGAAATAACTTTCAGTCACTTCAAGTTAGGATGTCTTTTCAATGAATAGAACATCAGTGACTTCAAGTTGTTGGAAGTTATCAATACTAAAGAAACACATCTTGAAATCTTATAAGATTGGATCAACTGGCTAAGGCTACTTTAACTTAACTAAGGATTACGAGTTCGATCTCTTGAGCACACAACACTTTAAGGTCAAGAGCGTCAATCTTAATGGTTCCCGTCATGTATCGATTTGGATTAGTCTAATTTGTAATTTGATTGTTGGTCAAAATATTAGTGTGAAAGGGGGAAAAACACAAATTGAGGTTTCAGAAAAGCTTAACTTTAGGGGTGAAAATAGGCTAAGCCTCTATCAGAGTCCTACAACCTAACCTATATAAAGTCTAGCCTAGCCTATTTGGTAAATAGGTCAGGCTTACATTAATTAATCTTAATAGCTAACTCAACTACTATCATTATTATTTTATTCACTAATCTTAAAATACATGAAAAATTGAAAAAATAGTAATTTTGAGTTCAACACAAAACCTAATGTGGAGGTTAAGTTGTCATCACTCATCAATCAGGCATATACGTCAGACACTTCCCAATCAAAATTTAAATGTGAAAGTACATGGATATTTATGAACAATTACCCTAAATTTCCAAGAAATCGATCCCAACTTTCAAATAAAATCAAACTACACTAGCTAAGTAGCTCAAATTCCTTCTGAAAGCAATAAAAGAGGAGTGAGAATCAGACCAGTAGTAGAAGATAGTCATCGGATTTAAAGATGATTCCGCTTAGGGGGAAAAAGGTCTTGCAGATCTATTAATTAAAGAAAGGCCGAAAATATGAATCAATCCTTACAGAACTTCAGGAGTAAAATAACCCATGAACAGATGAAATTCTCCCATAATAATCTGCACAAAACTTGCATCGCCATAGGAATTTAAGTACTAAAAAAAAACATGAGTAGCATGGCTAGTTGCATTGTCACTGGTTCAGTAATTTTGAACTGTGTGTTCCAAGACACATCAGGTAAATCAACAACTCACAGGATAAGAGGCCATAACATTCAAGAGTTCCCGCCAGAAGATAAGAGCCAATTAGGCTCAGCTTTACAGCAAGCATAAATCTTAGCTCAAATTCGTTCATGAGCTTCTTAGCTTCAGGTGTATTCACAATCCAAACCTAGATTTCCAAGTTTAGATTGAACTTGCCTCAGCTCAGTTAAAGCAGCATCAACAACTAGAGAAGTGCCAGTCAGTTCATAAATTTACAAGATAAAAGGTGACAAGTTAATAATGGGCCCTCTCATCATTCTCTAATTGCAAGCTTTCAATGCCCCTGACGGCTCAGTAATCGAAAAGCCACGTTACTCAATTCTTTTGCACCTACTTATAGTTTTTTATATGTTTGCAACAACATCACTTGTGCAAAAGCTGTTATATGCTACTTTTGTTTAATATAAAAGCTAGATAACCAATTTAAGAATATTAATAAAATTATTTAAGTTAGCTATTCATCATATGTATGTTGATCTTTCTAAACTACCATCTTCAATCATGTACATGGGATGATTAATTAAAATTATTTGTTAGTAAGATTGGAATCTTATATTTAAAACCATATTCAACCTTCAACTAGCTCTTATATTAAGAATTAAAGGTAGTACTTTCTTCTTTCCATATCTTTTTGCGTTTTAGGTTAATTTCTTTGCTATTTGTTTTAAAATTTGTCTCTTGTAATCTTTATCACTACAATGTACCGCGAAAAAAATGCTAGGTTAAATGGTTATAAAATCACAACACAAATAGTGAAACTGTGTGGTCACCTAAGACTCTGTGGGCTGATTAAGTTTGGGCCCAAAATAATTTATGGGCCAGTTAAAGGTCCTTATAATTTAACTTAATTTTGAATTAGGTCCCTAAACTTTTGGGAAAATGACACATAAAGAAACCTGAAATTATAAAATGCCAAAATGGGAAGCTAAGCAAATGTATTACCAGATAGGGAAGTATTGCCTGATTTGGGATTATGCAAATGTTGGGAAATTACCAAAAAGCCCCTCATGATGCAAACAGAGAAAACGACCAGTGGAAGTATACAAGTTGTGGCAGGAGCTGGAGGAAAAACTTGGGAGGGACCATGAATGTGGGAGCATGAACGCGCGAAGCAACAACTGAATGACGGAAGCGAGGTTAGTATTCAATGACTATATTGTTCGCCTCTCTCTTTTGTCTGTCTCCTTTATGCACTGGTTGATTTTCCTCTTCCCGTTGGATGGCAATATCGTCGATGTGGGGATGATTTTGAGGTGGAGAGGGTGGTGAAGCATGGAGATGGCGTGGGTATATAGAAAGTGTGGGGAAGGACGGTGATCAGAGGGTGAATGCATGGGGAAGGAAAAACACTGAGGGAGAGGGGTTTGATGGTGTCACAAATGGGTTAGAGTAATTAGTGTCAGATAAAGGCACAATGTTGAAGGGAGATTCGAATAATGGAGTGGATTGATTATTAGAAAATGAAGCATTAGTGTGGACAGGAAAGAAATGAGTGTTTTGTTGCAAATTATAAGCATGAATGCGTCAAACCCTAAGTTGGTCGTGTAAGTTGATGATGATGTTATTAAGTTATATAATCATTCAACTTCTGTTATCAGTGCAGGTAATGAAGGAAAATGAATTTCGAAGTTGGGTTATCTTGTGGGAAGGAGATGTTCTGTTATTTTCATGTGGGAGGGAAATTTGTGACAAATAGTGAAGGTGAAGTGAGATATAATGGAGGTGGCGTGAGGTTAAGAAGCATTAAGGATGGGCTGACACGTGATGAATTGAGGCTAATGATATGTGAGTGGATTGGTGGTGATGGAAGAAATTATGACATTAAGTACACAGTGGCCTTTGATGAGAAGACACTGATTAACCTTCATGACAATGCTGAAATGTATAACCTCTTTCAATACAATGGGAATAGCGGTCATGTGTATGTGGCCGAAAACAGACAGGTGGGTCCCCAACCAAGGGACAATGTAGAAATGTAAGTGGAAGTTTATCCTAACTATTTATTGTCATTTATGAATTTCATTTTGTCATTTGTGTTAACGAGTCTTGTCATTCTGAATGTAGAACAGAGAGATTCATGGGCATGTCACAGCAAACGGAACTGGATGCGTCTCCCATTAGTTTGTGTTGTGATTATGGCTGGCTCAGTGAAGAAAATGCTCATGAATGTGACAATAATGAAATAAGTGGGCCCCCTAATGTGGATACATCTATTGGAGCTGAAGATACAGATGGTAGTGAGATGGTTCATGCGGAATGGAGGGGACTTTTTACAGGAGTGGGCCAACGTTTTCCTAGTACAGATGTATTTTGGGTGTCTGCATACAAGTTTGCACTTGCAAACAAGTTTGTGGCCAAGTATGTGAGGAATAACAAGGAATTCATGTCAATGAGGTGTAAAGTTGAGGGTTGTCCATGGAAGCTATGCGTAAATCATGTGGGGAAGAGTTGTGATGTGCTATGAGTGACGACATTTATAAACTGGCATGTTCATTCTGCCCAAGATAGCATGGACGTGATGCATAGTGGAAGAGCTAGTTTGAACTCATGAATAATAATTGATGAGATGAGGG